GACGGGAGACGCTAGAAGCAGGGGGTGGAGCTGATGCGGGGCTGGTGACATATTACTGTGGCTCTTTGGCAATGTACATTGGTAAATTCTGGGTCCTTCTCAGGCTCAGGTTGGCCACCCCTGAGATAAAGTCTGGCAAAGTTATAAGCCACTGAAAACAGGGTCTTGAAATTGTCGGGTGACAATAATAGGCAGCACTACCAGCTATGCCTATAACATATATGCCAATCTCTATTTATCTGGTTTACTCCACAGCAAAAACAAAATTCCTGCACTAGTCATTTTTGGATAAGTACAGTAAGAACAGTCTAAGACAAGCAAGCTTTGCTGGCTGGATTTCATGAGACTGTTCCACCAGCTGAGCTTTGAAATAAACATTTTCTATAATTTCCTATAAGCATACGCCTAGCTTAAAATGCAAACAAAAAAGAGACTGTATGCTCCTCTTCTAAAGTAGGACAGACAAAAAGAGAACAGTTCAGATTGAAAAAGCTGGGTGAAACTGCAACTAAAGTTTCAAGATTCTGCCTACTGTCCCCAAAAGCCAGCCAGTCTACTCCCATATTTACCACAATCAATCATTTAGGTTTACAAGTTCTACAAAACCGGTTAGCCACGTAAGAATGTTTAAAAAGTTTTATGATTTTGCTAGAATTGTACAATTTTTTCAGTTTTTTGACATTTATGTACTTTATTTCAAAAAGAAAAGTATATCTTGCTTTATTCTCAATTAACAACTGAAACTAAACTTCTAGAAATCTGCAGTCTGCAGAGACTGTTGCCATTTTGTGAAGCAGAGAGATTCAGTACATTAAAGAGGAGTCTGACACTCTGTGCTCTCTCATAGAGACTATTTTTGTTATTTTTTCCTTAATATAAAATAAACAGTAATAATTAAGTGTTATGGATGTTGTGTGCATGGAAAACAGAAAGGTATATATGTATTATCGTTGACATTTTATAGATGGGGAAAACAAAAGAGATTAAGTGACTTGTCCAAAGTCACAGAGCAAGTCAGTAACAAAATCAGAACCCAAATATTTTAACTCACAATCCTATGACTCAGTTCACAAGACTTCAGCTAGACCCAAAACTGGGTCACCAGAATGTTTCAAAGGGTTGTGAGACAACTCCATTGATACAGATTATTAGACTGCACCCAAACAGTCTGAAAACAATTTGTAGCTGTTTTCTATGGTTTTGATGGAATTAAAGTTTCTGCATGCTTTTTTTATTTAATTTCTTTGGTGATCATCCTCATTTTGCTACAGCCCCTCATTAGAAATTGGTATTTGAAAATATTAGATTTCCATATGCTGGATTTTTATGTGCTTCTCATTCAGCATGTAACTATCTCTGAAAACTCTGAAAACAATGTGCAGCGGCAGTCAAAAGAGCTAACAAAATGTTAGGAACCATCAGGAAAGGGATAGATAACGAGACAGAGAACATCATAATGTCACTATATAAATCTATGGTATGCCACATCTCAAATACTATGTGCAGTTCTGGTCGCCCCACCTCTACCAACGTATATTAGAATTGGAAAAGGTACAAATAAAGGCAACAAAATGGTCATGGGCATGGAACAGCCTCTATATGAGGAGAACTTAAAAAGACTGGAACTTTTCAGCTAGAAAAGAGATGACTAATGGGGGGATATGATAGATGTCTATAAAATCATGAAAGGTGTGGAGAAAGTGAATAAGGAAGTGTAAAGGGTAAATTACACAACACAAGAACCAGCGGTTCCAAATTAAATTAATAGGCAGCAGGTTTAAAACAAACACAAGGAAGTACTTCTTCACACAATGCACAACCTGTAGAACTCACTGCTAGGGGATATTGTGAGGGCCAAAAATATAACTGGCTTCAAAAAAAGAATTTGATAAGGTCACAGAGGATATCTCCATCAATGGCTATTAGCCAAGATGGTCAGGGATGCAGCCACTTGCTCTGGGTGTCCCTAAATCTCTGACTGCCAGAAGCTGGGACTGCACAACAGGGAATGGATCACTTGATTACTGCCCTGTTCCGTTCTTTCCCTCTGAAGCATGTGGCACTGGCCAGGTGCAGAAGACAGGATACTGAATGATATGCACACAGTATGGCCGTTCTTATGTTCTTATGCACCCCTTTTCCAAAAAGAGTGCCTCCAATTTTATTTGGGGATTTCAGACATTTCTGTGAATTGATTTAAATTCCTGTCTCAAGAGTTGAGAGCTATCTGTTTTTACAGTTTAGCAGCACAGATTCCCAAGACATACAGTAAGCATTATCTCTGTACAATATTATCACATTTATAAACTAAACCACATAAAGCCTCAAGTCCGCATCTCCAAGAACAAATGAGTCTAATCTGAAATTCAAAAATATCCACTAACAACTGGAATACTTCAATAGCTGCAGTCCAATAGTACAAAAATTACAAGGCACACATAGATAAACAATGGAAAGCACGTAAACATTTCTTTAGCTGGACTTGCAGGTAAGAAGTTGGTTCTGTGAGATCCTATTTCTTTAGGGTTTAAATATTCTTGAGAAGCTCATTACTAAAATAACTTGATTATTTTAACATCCAGTTAAAATCTATAATTTTAATTAGGGTTCTCAAATAACCCGAAATGGTTTTAACTCCCCGTTTAATAAATTAGGAGTTATTGGGTTTTTTTTACTGGAATGTTACAAACAAACCAGGGTCTCTCTTTTGGGGTTAGAAACATTTTGTATCTTGCAAAAAAAGACTGTAAAAGGAGAGGTATCTATCACTCTCACATGCCTCCAATTTACTATCATCTCAGATAATGTACTCTTTTATTACTATGAATAGCCCTACCAAATTCATGGCCATGAAAAATACGTCACGGACTGTGAAATCTGGTCTCCCCCATGAAATCTGGTCTTTTGTGTGCTTTTACCCTATACTATACAGGTTTCACGGGGGAGACCAGTATTTCTTAAATTGGGGGTCCTGACAAAAAAGGGAGTTGCAGGGGGGTCACAAGGTTATTTTAGGGGGGTCGCAGTATTGCCACCATTATTTCTGCGCTGCCTTTAGAGCTGGGCAGCCAGAGAGCGGTGGCTGTTCGCCAGGCATCCAGCTCTGAAGGCAGCGCTCTGCCAGCGGCAGTGCAGAAGTAAGGGTGGCAATACCATACCATGCCATCCTTACTTCTGTGCTGCTGCTGGTGGCGGCTCTGCCTTCAGAGCTGGGCTCCCGGCCAACAGCCACTGCTCTCCAGCTGCCCAGCACTAAAGGCAGCAGTGCCGCCGCCAGCAACAGCGCAGAAATAAGGGTAGCAGTACCGCAACTCCCTCTACAATAACCTTGCGACCCCACCACATCTCCTTTTTGGATCAAAAATGAATTCCATGTCCTTTTGAAATTCCTGCACAGTTATATCTTGTCCATCAAAATGGGGCAAAAAGGAAAAGTAAATATGGTGAGGTTGTATGGAACTATTCTGTTTGGTAGTGGCACATCTGATTTATGTTCATTTTTAAGGTACAGTGTCTGACCTACCCCACCTTGTCCCTCCTCCCTTTCCAGGTATAGTAATCATAGGATCCAATCTTCCCATCTTCTTGCTTATAAGTACTCTCAGTGCCAGACTTTCCACATCCCATCTAAGCTCTTACAAGGTCCAAAAGTCCATCATACTCATCACACTCAAATGCAAAGTACTCCATTTAGGAAGGAATAATCAGTTGCACACACACAAAGTGGGAAATGACTGCCTAGGAAGGAGTACTGCGGAAAGGGATCTGGGGATCATAGTGGACCACAAGCTAAATATGAATCAACAGTGTAACGCTGTTGCAAAAAAAGCAAACATCATTCAGGGATGTATTAGCAGGAGTGTTGTAAGCAAGATATGAAAAGTAATTTTTCCGCTCTACTCCGCACTGATTAGGCCTCAACTGGAGTACTGTGTCCAGTTCTTGGCGCCACATTTCAGGAAGGATGTGGACCAATTGGAGAGAGCCCAGAGAAGAGCGACAAAAATGATTAAAGGTCTAGAAAACATGACCTATGAGGGAAGATTGGAAAAACTGGGTTTGTTCAGTCTGGAAAAGAGAAGACTGAAGGGGACGTGATGACAGTTTTCAAATATGTAAAAGGTTGTTACAAGGAGGAGGAAGAAAAATTGTTTTTCTTAACCTCTGAGGATAGGACAAGAAGCAATGGGCTTAAATTGCAGCAAGGGAAGTTTAGGTTGGACATTAGGAAAAAATTCCTAACTGTCAGGGTCGTTAAGCACTGGAATAAATTGCCTAGGGAGGTTGTGGAGTCTCCATCATTGGAGATTTTTAAGAGCAGGTTAGACAAACACCTGTCAGAAATGGTCTAGATCAGTGTTTCCCAAACTTGGGACGCTGCTTGTGTAGGGAAAGCCCCTGGTGGGCCGGGCCGGTTTGTTTACCTGCCCCATCCACAGGTCCGGCCGATCGCGGCTCCCACTGGCTTGCAGTTCGCTGCTCCAGGCCAATGGGAGCTGCTGGAAGCCGCGGCCAGTATGTCCCTCAGCCCACGCCACTTCCAGCAGCTCCCATTGGCCTGGAGCAGCGAACCGCAGACGTGGGAGCCGCGATCGGCCAGACCTGCGGACGGGGCAGGTAAACAAACCGGCCTGGCCTGCCAGGGGCTTTCCCTACACAAGTGGTGTCCCAAGTTTGGGAAACACTGGTCTAGATAATACTTAGTCCTGCTACGAGTGCAGGGGCCTGGACTAGATGACCTCTCGAGGTCCCTCACAGTTCTATGATTCTATACTCTGCACATTACTGCAGGGTCTGAAGGTCACTGCTCTCCTCACCCACAGTTACCTATAGCGTCTGAATATCATTGTTTCCATCCCTAGGTACTCAGAGGCCTGAGTGCCAGCATTCACCACATCTCACTGCCTTCTCCCTCCCCATTTGCCACAGGGTACCAGCTCTGAGTGTATCCCTCCAAATCCTTACACAAAGCTGTTGTATGACTCCACTCCATTACTCACAGGGTTTTGGTGTCCTGTGGAAAGCTGGGAATGAGATGTGTCTCCTTGCAGGTGATTTTGTAGTGGTCCCAGTCTGAGCACTCACACTCTGATGAAGGGCACATCTTTGTGGCTGTGCTCCACAGCACTGTCTCCAGCAACAGCAGGACCTGGAAAGCTACCAGTAGCCACAGCATCTTGCACATCCTGCTGCTGGTGCTACTTCATTAGTCCCCTGCCCCACTCTTCTCCAGTGGAGGGGGAACAAGGCAACCAAGGATACAGATGGCACAGGACTCTTTTGTCATTCAAAGAGTGGGGCAGTAGGAAACTGCACCTTGCCAAAAAGCCACCTCCTCCTCCCTAAAGGGAAGCAGAAGAGATATCATTACACAGAAGACAGAAATCCAGAGTACCCTGCCTCCCCTGTGCTGCTGTGCCTCCTCATGGTAACCTGCTCACTCTCCCCAGGCACACCACCCCCTCCCCACAACTCTCCCCAGGTATCCCACTCCACTGCCCCCACTCTCTCCAGGCACCCCACTCCCCCAATTTTCTCCAGTCACTCATTCCCCCAGCTCCACCCCTCTGCCCCCGAACTCTCCCCGGACACCCCGCTCCACCCCCGCCATGTGCGCCTCCCGGACTCGGCTCCCAGCCCCACAACTCTCCCCAGGTACACTATCGCCTCCAACAGACCCATTCTTCCAGACGCCACAGCCCATGTACCATGATCCACACCCCCAGACAAGCTTTGCCAGGCACTGCCCCGCCAGAGCCCCTTCCCCCACGGTCAACCTCCTCCTCCTCCTCCTGAGCCGCTCCCCGCACCCCGCTCTGCTCCCAGCCCCTCAGAGGGCTGCCCTGCCCCGTTCCACCCCGAGCTCCCCTCACCAGGACAAACTGCGGGCCGCGCTGCTGGGCGCGGAGCTTCCCCTCACGCTGCGTTTAGAGCCGGGAAGGCGGCTCCTGGGGCAGTTCCCTCAGCCGGGCACATCACTTCAGCGCGGGTGGCGGTGGCGGCGGCAGCGGCTTCTCAACTCCGAGTCTCAGTCGGGACGCGGACCAGAGTCGCTACCCTCCGCGTTTTACCGCTTCCAACGGCTGTCCGCATCGGCCACCTAGCGGCAACTGCAGGCAGTGCCTCGAGCCGAGCCGGCCCAGCCCCTGTGCGACAGGGCCACCTGCCGAGAGCGGCAGGGAGGGGACGGGCCTGGGGGCAAGAGGCGACAGTGTTTGTGCGCGAGACAGAGTGAGCGCGCACGGGGTTGTGCGAGGCTGAGGGAGAGTGTGAGAGGGTGGGTGGCGTGGTTTGTTTCAGATGTGGATTGTGAGCGCATGAGCGATCATGCTGTGAGAAAGGAGACCATGTGCCTGTAGCCAGGTCCAGTGCTCAGAAGAGGCTTTGTGATATTGTGATAGATCATAGAAAAGGTGTTAACACAAACAGTATTACACCCAATGATAGGGGCACCTTAAACTTATATGTCCCTGTATAGCAGGGTGGTCAGCGGCTCCTGCTCTGAGGGGTTTAAAAACAGCCCTTGGAATGGATGGGGGGTGAGAGAGAACACCCTGGGCTGATTGGGGAAAGTAGCTGCAGCTGGGCCACGCCCCAATCAGAGCCCAGCTGGCCCTATAAAGGCCAGGGCAGCCAGAAGCTCAGTAGTTTCTCTCTGCAGGGAATTAGAGCAGAGTACCTAGGTGGAGCAGGGCTGGGGAGCCCCAGCCTGTGGCCTAGTGTTAGGCCAGGAGGTACTAGGGGTTGCAGAGGGCAGCCTGGAGATAGGCCAAGGCAGCAGGCCCAATCCCAACCTTGCCTGTGATGAGTGGCTGGTACTGCAGTCTGCCCCTGGGGCTAGATGGTGACCGACAGTAGCCAGATACTGAGGCGAGGTGGGGTTAGTGGGTGGGGTTCCCCTTGGGGGGGAAGATGCAGCATGTGGGTACTGCCAAGGTGCAGCACCCTGAACAAGGGGCACCGGGGTCCTGGGAGGGACACGGGGCCCAGAAGTAGAAAGCAAGGCAGATCACCGGCCTGCAGAGGGCGCTCCGGAGGCTGGGTTGAGCTAATTCCCTGAGAGACCAGCAGGAGGCGCCACAGGGGTGAGTTTGTGCCTGTTACACCCTGTAAAATGGGTGTGGTATCATTTACCAGATACGCCCAGCACCAGCTGACCCATTTTTAAATATAAACATGACACTGCCCTCTAATAATATTTTTGTTAGTTAACACAATTTGTAACAGAATATGTTTTCCCAGGGTAGAGGCGGCAGGTGAGAGAATATCCAAGCAGCAAGAGCTTGCCCTTACAGTTGTTTATTATGCTGACCTATCTAATGTAAAATGTGCAAAGCTAAGGCAGAATTTTGCCAATTACAGAAACTAAGGGACACACAGGATAGTCAAAACTCAGACTAGCACACCTATTAAACCAATGTGATGGGAAAGAGTAGGAAGTGTCCCGATTTCAATCTAATGACCAAAATATGAGGCTATACAAGAAAGTAAGTAAAGAGAAGAAACAGGGTCTAGCACCAGGGAAAAGGAGACAGAGCTCACCCATCATGTACTTCTTGTACAGGGTAGGTTGCAGGCTGCTATTAGCAAACCCAGGCTGGGCTGCCTGTAGCCCTTTCTTCCCAATACAGCAGATGTGTTCACTAGCTAGAACATCCTTTAATGCACACAGCCATGAAGGGCTATTGTGAACTTAAGGTATGTGATACATGGCTGAACAGTATAATAGTTAACCATTCATTTACAGCATCACTCTATGTAGCAAGCCAATATTGCCTCAGGAATAGATTCTAATTAAAAAATGGAGAGATGGAGGAGATCTCCTCTAGGTTCCACTTCACTCTGGCCAGATCACATCTGAGGGCTGTGTCTCTTTTATTCTCTGGTACTATTTGTACAGCTCAGTGGATGAACCTACTTTTATAGTATTTATATCTCTCACACACACGGGAGCTGTGGGGGTGGTACAAATGAATAAGACATGCAGTCTTGTTATTTATTTTAAACAGTAAACACATTAAAGTTATTTGGACAGCTTATTCAGACAAGATCTACCGCATGTGCTCCTATGTGTGTTATGTAGATGTCCATTAAATTTTCTTGCTGTGTGGGTGTGATATTGTGCAGTCTATATGGTTTTATAAAAACATGTTAAGTGAATATAATGTAACTGGGATAGTCTTAGAAAAATATGGTAAAAAGTGAATATAACGTAACTGGGATATGCTTCATGCAAAAGGTCTCTTGTAAGGTATCATTATGAGCTTTGTAATCTACTGAGTGTGATCATCCTATTTGTATAAATGTACCACTCTTGTATCTAAAACTAGAAATATAAAATATAACTGAGGGCCTATTGTAATTATGTAAAGTGTGGGCCATTAAGGATGGTTTGGAATCTTGATGATTCCCATTCATAGATTCTAGGACTGGAAGGGACCTCGAGAGGTCATCGAGTCCAGTCCCCTGCCCGCATGGCAGGACCAAATACTGTCTACAGACCAAACATTGTCTGCAGATGGCTGTATTTACCTGTTAGTCTTCCTGTATATGTGTGTGCTGGCAAGTGAGTAATGAAGTCTTGCAGTGACATGTGATCATGTCACCTGAACTAGACTCCATCTTTAACCTGGTGCTTTTCCAGTGAGGGGGGGTGGAAACCCAGAGGGACAAAGGGTTCCCGCCTTATGCAAAAGATATATAAAGGGGTGGAAGAGAACAAAGGGAGGGAGGAGCCATCATGAAGAATCCCCTAGCTATCACCTGAGCTGCAACAAGAGCTGTACCAAGGGAAAGAATTGTGCCCAGGCCTGGAAGGTGTCCAGTCTGAGAAAAAGCTTACTGAAGCATCTCTGAGGGTGAGATCATCTGTATTCAGTTTGATTAGGCATAGATTTGCGCATTTTATTTTATTTTGCTTGTGACTTACTTTGTTCTGTCTGTTACTACTTTGAACCACTTAAATCCTACTGTCTGTATTTAATAAAATCACTTTTTATTTAGTAATTTACTCAGAGTATGTATTAATACCTGAGGGAGCAAACAACTGTGCATATCTCTCTATCAGTGTTATAGAGGGCGAACAATTTATGCGTTTGCCTTGCATAAGCTTTATGCAGGGTAAAACGGATTTATCTGGGTTTAGACCCCATTGGGAGTTGGGCATCTGAGTGCTGAAGACAAGCACACTACTGTGAGCTGTTTTCAGGTAAACTTGCAGCTTTGGGACAAGTGATTCAGACCCTGGGTCTGTGTCTGGAGCCAGACGGGAGTGTCTGGCTCAGCAAGACAGGGTGCTGGAGTCCTGAGCTGGCAGGGAAAACAGAAGCAGGGGTAGTCTTGGTACATTGGGTGGCAGCTCCCAAGGGGGTTTCTGTGATCCAACCCGTCACAGTGAGTTATTTCATTTGTTTTTTTAAGAGTATGTGAATTTTATTTTCTTGCATCGCATCTACTTTGTGTCTCTATTTTCATGCAGATGGGGTTCATAGCTCCCACCCATCTACCCATAGAGGGAACAAATGAACAAGGTAAATCATAATACCTCACATTAGATAAAAATCTTGTAAAGTGTATTTTATTTTTTAAGGTAAAATAGTTGTCCCACAGCATGTACAGCACAATAGAGCTTATTTCGTTGTAATTCTTTAAAAGGCAGTTAAGTCACTGGAATTCAGGTGTCAGTTAATGTTTTGTCTTTACGGATTTTATGTGGCAAAACACATTCAAAATGACAAAAGAGACAGATGCCACTTGTAATTTTGTAAGATTTAAACTTCAGTATACAATCAAATTACTTCGAATAGCACCTTCCATCAGAGGGCATCAAAGCACATATGCATAATTAATTACTCCTCTCAGCGATGCTGTGAGGTTTAAGTAATGCCAGGCCCATTTTACAGAGACATGTTTAAGGATCCCATTTTAATAGCTCTAGTTGTGATCTCCATATCCACTGAAGGCAGGACAAGAAGTAATTGGATTAACCTGCAACAAGAGAGATTTAGGTTAGATATTAAGAAAAACTTTCTAACTATAAAGCTAGTTAAGCACTGAAATAAGCTTCCAAAGGAGGCTGTGGAATCCCTGTCATTGGAGGTTTTTAAGAACAGGTTAGACAAACATCTGTCAGGGATGATCAAGGTATAGTTGGTCCTACCTCAGCACATGGGGCTAGACTAGATG